TCATATGACAGGTTAGGTTAGTTATTAAAGCGACTTTTCGAGGCCTGTCTAATTAAACTCTACATTTATTTATTCATATTTATCTATATTTATTTATTCATATTTATGTAAATTCTTTTTTTTTTTAAACCATTAAAAAACACACACACACTTATTAATTATAGAAAATCGCGTGAGAAGCTCGATACAACTGCATACGTGATCAGTCGAACATTTAGAAAACTGTTCTGACTGGATCTATATTCTTACAAAATACTATACAATATCATGTAGATCTTTCTTGTCATGAGCACACTTACAGTCATTGTTTTTTAAGGCGAGCGATCGCTCTCGAGCACCACTTAATCGTGTTTGTGTACATGGATAATGTGTGACGTGGAAAATTATAAATGACATGTTAGGTTAGTTATTAAAGCGACTTTTCGAGGCCTGTCTAATTAAACTCTACATTTATTTATTCATATTTATCTATATTTATTTATTCATATTTATGTAAATTCTTTTTTTTTTTTAAACCATTAAAAAACACACACACACTTATTAATTATAGAAAATCGCGTGAGAAGCTTGATACAACTGCATACGTGATCAGTCGAACATTTAGAAAACTGTTCTGACTGGATCTATTTTCTTACAAAATACTATACAATATCATGTAGATCTTTCTTCTCATGAGCACACTTACAGTCATTGTTTTTTAAGGCGAGCGATCGCTCTCGAGCACCATTTAATCGTGTTTGTGTACATGGATAATGTGTGACGTGGAAAATTATAAATGACAGGTTAGGTTAGTTATTAAAGCGACTTTTCGAGGCCTGTCTAATTAAACTCTACATTTATTTATTCATATAAATGACAGGTTAGGTTAGATATTAAAGCGATTTTTCGAGGCCTGTCTATTATCTATATTTATTTATTCATATTTATGTAAATTCTTTTTTTTTTTTTAAACCATTAAAAAACACACACACACTTATTATAGAAAATCGCGTGAGAAGCTCGATACAACAACATACGTGATCAGTCGAACATTTAGAAAACTGTTCTGACTGGATCTATTTTCTTTCTTTTTTGTACTTTTTTATTTTGAAGTTCAATAATTAATTTCTGATTCGACATGATCATCGTTTTATTGGTCATATTCAACCAAGAGGAAATTTCATAATGGCTGAATGTTCGCTACATATATGCCCCAAACAACTATTTTATCATTGGTTAGAGGCGTCTAACTGCGTGAAAATTTACAGTTACTATTGACTGACAGCATGCATGCACAAATCAAACAATGTTATTTGCATCTTCCATACTTTAAAGTATAATGACTGGATCGATAACCTCAATGACCAACATGTGTTACCTTTTTAGTGTGCTGCTGAGTTTGCCATTATATACAATAAAAATAAGGAATATTTTCACGTTAACAAAAATATTTACTTGACGCATCATGTTTCCAGCACCAAGAATCAAATTTAGCGATATTTTTCTGCGGGCCAGAAACAAAATTCCCAATCAACGATTGGCTTACATGGGCTTTATTTGCAGTTTGGGCTTCGTTTTTGATACGCCCACATGGAAATATATTGCCATTGTCCCCGTCCATCCGTTGTTTTAAAATTGATATATGTTGTTTAGTTGATATTACCAGAAACTCAGATTTATCAACGTATAATTTTAGTTTGTTGTTCAACATCCATTTACGAATGTCCACAAGACAGATTTCCAGCTTCCGTAGGGATAATGTCATAGAATCGTGGTCCCTAAGAGCAAAAAACTTGTATAGCTGAGTATCATCAGCAAATCTGTGGTTATACACACAGTGTTTTCTTACTAGCTGGCCGAGTGGCAAGATATAGATGAGAAAGAGCAAGGGACCTAACACAGACCCTTGAGGAACGCCAATAGTTAGTGATTTAGGTTTGGAAACTGATCTGTTGCATTGGATTTTCTGTGATCTGTTATGAAGGTACGATTTGATCCATTGCAATGCAGCACCACCTACCCCAGTAACATTTTCCAAGTGCTTGAACAAGATCTCGTGATCTAAGGTGTCAAAGTGGCACTCAGGTCCAAGAGGATCAAGTGAGCAGCCTGGTTTCTGTCCAGTGCCAAGTCAATATCATTTTTAATCTTGACTAATGCCGTCTCTGTACTGTATCCGGCCTTGTAAGCTGATTGTAGTGGATCATGTAGACCATATTGTATTAAATGGGAGCTAATTTGATGGGCAATTACTTTTTCAATAACTTTACCAATAAAAGGGAGGTTAGAAACTGGCCTATAGTTTTTAAATAACTCCGGATTTAGATTAGCTTTAGAACATCAGGGACAATACTGGAGGAAATTGAGGTGTTCACAATTTTAGTGACTAATGGAAGGAGCGATTCAAGAATTTTTACTTTGTTTCAACAGCCAAGTTGGTATGACGTCAAGATTACAGGTAGAAGAATTGCCCTTTAGTATGATATCTTTTATATGATCACATGATGCCGATTCGAACTGATTCAGGAATCCAGCCGGAGTATTAGAAGGGCTGTCTAAATTAGCAGACGTCGTGTTGACTGACTCTTGATCCAGCTGATGACGGATGTCAAAAACTTTCTTATGAAAGAAGTCACTGAATTTCTCAGACAGGTTTTGATCATCATCACATGTTGGTAACCTTTTCGTTGTATCCGACGTCAGTTTACTGACAACTTTAAACAAGTCTCCCGAATCTGACGTAGTGAGTTTATTATTGTAAAACTGTCGTTTGTTTATGGACTTCTAATTTGGTTTTCCGCCATTTCCGTTTGTACTGACGGCGTGTGCGTCTTTCTGTGTGGATATCGCCGTTATACCAAGGTAACGGTTTTGAAGATTTTAAAGTCCTTGATAAGCGGTGCATGTTCATCCAAGACACGGAGAACGGATCTTTCATATGTTTCAATTAAGGAATTTACGTTGTTATCAGATGTAGTAGTGTTGACTATTGTAGCACATAAATCTTTAACGAATTTCTGGGTATCAAGATGTTTTAATTTTCTACTTGTGACTGTTACTCTCTTAGCGGGTTCAAACACATATTTTAAACATCCAGTTATTGGGTGATGATCAGAGATTATGTCCTCTTCAACCGTTACTGATTCAATGAGGGCATCATCGCCTCTGCTTATAACTAAATCAAGGATGTGACCATGGCGGTGAGTGGGTTTAGTAACATGCTGAAAAAGATCGAATGATTTTAGTATATCACAAAATTGCGAGACATAAGAATCCCGCTCATTTTCAAAATGTAAGTTGAAATCACCTAAAATCATAAAGAAACCTTTTAAGAAGACAAGTTTTGAGAGAAACATTTCAAATTCTGCAAGAAAAGCCTTCGTAGTAATTTTGTTTTTTGCTGAAGGAGGAGGGTGGTATATTATGATGATTCGTATTGTTCTAGACAGTACATGACAATATTCAAAAGTCGAATGGTTACCTAATGCTTTATTTGACTCCAATTTGAAATCATGGGTAGTTTTGTAGAGTGAACCAGTGCCGCCCCCTCTGCTCTTTTGCCGTGGGTTGCTGATAAACGAATACTTACTGGCACAAAGGTCATGTAGATTACTTCCAGAGTTACGGCCGTTGTTTTAGTTTTTAGAACCTTGTGAACCCTCAAACCAAACGACGAAAATTATAATGTCATCTGTATGAAATTGTCTATTAAATTCCCCTAATTACCTACAAAAGAATAAATATGTGACAACCCTTGTCAACTGCTCGGACAATTTAGCTGCTGTGGGCGTATGTTTTGTTGCCTGGCAACCTATCTTATTTTATCAAAACAAATAGGCTATTTTAAACTATGACAAATCTCAAATGATTTGGAGACAATCCAGTTTTGTTTCCTTTATTGAAAGATTATTTTGATAATGACATCAAGGTACTGGTAGCCTATGATATACATTCGAATACTACTAATGATAACATTTTTACAACTCAGTTGTACTTCGGGGCTCTTGTTAAGTATAATTGTTCTCACTTAAGTATAATTACATGGAGAAGCTAATAACTTAGGGGGGGGTTGAATAGCTGAATGGTTAGCGTGCGCGCGCTGTATCATAAAGTCTGTCATTGAGTCGACTGGCGTGGTTTCGAATCCCCGGTTGTACGTGACAAGGAGTAGGGTTGCCTGTCCAACCTCGTTGGTTTTCTCCGGGTCCTCCGGTTTCCTCCCACTGCTAAAGACCCCTATGCGCAATCGAATTATTGAAATAAAATTAAACCATATGTTAGTCCAGAAATGACCTAGTTTGTGTCCAACCTCGTTGGTTTTCTCCGGGTCCTCCGGTTTCCTCCCACTGCTAAAGACCCCTATGCGCAAGCGAATTATTGAAATAAAATTAAACCATATGTTAGTCCAGAAATGACCTAGTTTGTGTCGAGTGGAAATTAAACCCCATTTCTCTCTCTATCAGCAGACACGCCCAGTGAGTCTGACTGGCTAGGGTTTGAAAATGACTTTAGTATTATAATCTATACTATGCTTGTATCCATGTATCCGGTTATGATATATAAAATGTAAAAACAAACTGTTACATTGTTATTCTTGGAAAGACAAATGTCTTAACTAACTGAGAAAACAGTAATAAGTAAATACACAACATGAAGGGGAAGCAAAGACGATCACAAGGCTACTAAAATGTGTAGTAAGAAAAGATGCATGGGTCGCACGTAGGATGTATCTACAGATTTTAGCCTCTTCGTATTAGATTTGTTGCGATAATTAGAATTTAACCAATGCATAGAAATTCACCTATAGAGCTAGTTTTAATATGGCAAATGTACAAAACTCCCTTTTCCTTCTTCTTAGTGTATATATATATGTAGAATACCGGTAAAAATATCTAGCGGTGTGAGCCTTCAAAATAAATGATAAGTGGTATTATTAGGTGCTCTATACAATTTAAGAATACCCTGCATTGTTTACTGTATACCTCACTACATGTAGAAAATACATTGTTTTGTATCTATAGAGTGTTCAGAAGAATGATGTAGTAATCGGTGTGGTAAATGATGTGATGGAAGGTGGGCTATTAATCAATCTGCTGTGTACAGATAATCAGAAAGTTAGAGATCTTGACGGACTTAATATAGCGGTAATGATTAAACATTTCTTTAAACTTGAATCCTCTATAGTTGTGTGGTAATTTGTTTAGCCACAATCATATCCAGAAATTGATCCCTTAGGACAACAGAATGGGAATTTCTGAGACTCCAGTTCCAACTTGTCACAATTGTTGGTATGAAATGTAAACTATATCATAGAACATATGAACTAAGAAGAAACAAAAGTAAAATTTTATTTCTGTAATAATATTTGATATTTATAATATAGGTTTTTTGCCCAGCTAAAGAATTGCCTCAAATTCATCAACATTTTAATCCGACAGAGAATTTTCAAGTCAAAGATGTTGTCCGAGGTAAAATTTCTATGTATTTGTCTTTCTATGTGAGATTCGCTGTTGTTATTTATATCTTGTTATATAGTTATAGACAGTAGGACCTTGTTTTGGCAGGTTTCACTGTTACTTTTGATGTACTGCAGACACAATAACAACAATGATTATTGAAATCTATCTGATTAAAACACAGATCCTATTTGGGTCTGTTTTCAGTAAAGCTTTTGTTATCATTGTTGTCGCCTGTAAATTCAGTTCAGCTCTCAACATCAGAAGTAGCCGAAAATCACAATGTGTTTCTGCTCATAAATCAGAGCTTTAGATAATTGGATAATACTAGGATAATGGATTTCTAAAGAGTTTATTTCCAAAATGAACAGTATGATACACATTAATTTAGACAAATAGGTAATTACTTTTTCATGTTTTTTGAATAGGTGTTGTTGTAGTGGTTAATCCAGAAAATGAGAAGATCATTATTTCACTACACACTTGCCATCTGGAGGGAAAGAGTGATATATTTCTGGTTCGTAATTTGTATAGATTTCATCTCTTCTGTATATATATTATATATTTTTATACATATATTGTTGTCACCCCTTCAGTCTGGACGTCCACATTTTGTTTGTGCACACTCTACAGGTCACAATTTTTATACAACCATATTTTCGTGTGGTTAAAAACAGGGTTATGGGTATCACAAACCATCTTTTATGGCATATGTGTAGTTGTGTCCTCTGAGGAAGTAAGTTTTTACACTTACGAAATGTTAGATGCAATAAAAGATGGTTTTGTGATACCCATGACTTTGTTTTTATGCGCCCACGTGTGGACGTATATTGACCTTGCCCTTGTCCATCCATCTACAATTTCAATCCCATTTTGACAAAATTTAAATATAGGTTTGTATACCAAAGATCTCGGTTCCTTTTGATATTGGGATGTATCGAACTGCAACTTTAATGGATTATGGCCCCTAATTTTACGAAAAATCATGTTTATAGTGGGGTGTTTGTGAGGATAGTCTTAGTCTTGCATCCGGCGACCGTGTAACGTCTGGATATGGTGAAAGCCTTCAGTCTTGCGAGCAAGTCTAATAATTATTATTATTATTGACTGTGATTTGTTTAAGCGAATTATTAGTTACTGGTTTTACTTACTGCATCTTGATTGATGATATGTATCTTGATTATTATTATTGACTGTGATTGTTTTTTTTATCCTTTTGGTATGTATCGTGTCCTTAAGATGGCTTCACTTACCATCTCTTGACTGATGATAGTTATTGATTTTATTTACTGTATCTTGATTGATGTTTTTGTCTTGTTCTATCAGTTTTACTTACCGTTGCATGATTGATGATTGTCATCGTTTTTTGCTAATTATACTTATGTGTCTGTTGGTTTTACCTACTGTATCTTAACTGAGGAAACTTATCGTGTCCTTATGATGGTCTCACTTACCGCCTCTTTTACTTGGTGAAACTTGTAGGTTTTATTTACCATCTTCTGAATGATGATACCTTTCGTGTTCTGTTATTTCTACTTATTGTGTCCTTATGGTGGCCTCATGTTCCGTTTCTTGCCTGGTGAAACTTATCGATTTTACTTACTGTCTCTTAATTAATGATAATGTTCACTTTCTGTGGGTAGTTATACCCAACTGTCTCTTGCTTTATGATACTTCGGGGGGTTGGATGGCCGAATGGTTAGCATGTGCATGCTGTATCATAAAGCCTGTCATTGAGTCAACTGGCGTGGTTTCGAATCACCGGTTGTACGTGACAAGGAGTAGGGGCGCCTGTCCAACCTCGTGGGTTTTCTCCGGGTCCTCTGGTTTCCTCCCACTGCTAAAGACCCCTACGCGCAAGCGAATTATTGAAATAAAAAAAATAAACTGTATGTTAGTCCGGAAATGACCTAGTTTGTGTCGAGTGGACGTTAAACCCTGTTTCTCTCTCTCTTTTATGATACTTGTCAATTGTTTTTTTCGCTTCCTGCTTATTTATTGTGTTCTGTTTGTTTCACTTACTGTATCTTAATTATTTATTGTTATCGACTGTGGGTAGTTTTACCTGACTGGCTCTTGTTTGATGATACATTCATATCTAGTTGTGTAAAGTTCAACTGAAGTTATAATGACTAAAATCAGTCATAAAAAAACTTTGTATACAATTTCCAGGTTCAGCCATAGTTCTGCCGGACTATACTGCTCTAAGTTTGATACAGAAAATCTATTGTTATGATTGAGTTTTCTGTGGAATTGGAGAAATAAATGTGGGATGTTTTTCAGTTTATTTATCTATATCACTAGTTTGATTAACAAACCAGTAAAAGAACACTAGCCCAGGACTAGTTCGGCTAAATAGATCATTAGCCCGTAAGTTATTTTTGGTAGCCCTGGTATGACAGTTTGAAATAACTCCTGGTGTGTGTTTGCTCCTGGGCACTTGCGCATGTCCAAAACTCCGAAAATGTTGTTTACATTAACAACGAAGCTATATCTACTTCCAACTTGGTGAGATGGTTCCTGATCACTGATCATGTGTTTCATGGTTAGTTTTGTCATTAATACTTGTTATCAGGATTAGCTGTTGTTTTAGTGATCAATAGTTACACGATCAACGGATCTAAGTTGAATGGCTTGAAATTGATACTTCTATCATTCGTGATAATTATGTTGCCATTGTTGTTTTTAGTGATCAGTCGTTACATTTTTTGATGTTTTAACTATGTTTGATAAATTAACTATTTTGCAAATTGAATATTGGCCTTTATATGATTGGGATTTCTCTGTATCATTGTTATTTTAAGTTTGTACTTCTTATTAAAATTTTTACAACTTCACCCCTATGTGTTTCATGGGGTAGACTAATCACCAGAATACACTGGAATTCACTTTTAAACACTGGAATTCACTGGAATTCACTTTTAAACACTGGAATTCACTTTTAAACACCGAAATTCACCAATAAACACCGAAATTCACCAATAAACACCAGAATTCACTTTGCAGAATGCATCTGCAAGGCCTACCTATTTACATATATTTTGCATTAATGATTTACTTAAAAACACCAAAAATCACCGGAATTCACTTTGAAGGCATATAAACACCGGAATTCACTTTCAAAATATCAGAATTCGCCTGCAAGCACTTCCTATTTACATATATTTTGCATTAATATTAATAATGAATTACTTTAAAACACCCAAAATCACCGGTATTCATTTTGAAAACATATAAACACTGGAATTCACTTTCAAAATATCGGAATTCACACCTTCCTATTTACTAATATTTTGCATTAATAATAAATTGCTTTAAAACACCGGAATTGACTCAAATACAAATCCTTTGTCATGCCAACCATGGGATCTAAATCTGAAACTAAACCTGAAAACACCCATTTCTTGAACATGAATATATATTTATTACCCCATTCCATACATAGAAAAGAAAGTGGTAATAAATACTCCATGTAAATTTGGGTTTAAACATGCATGCAAATTTCACAAGGGACAATTATTTTGTAGATGGAAATATATTGAATAATAATAAAGATTGTCAATTTGTATTACTACTTTTTAGCGAAATAAACAAACTATAGAAACTCGACACCCTCTCCTTATAGTAATACTGTAAATATTGGTAGATAATAGTGTAGAAACTGATCTTACATCAAGAAAATGTTAGGGCTTAGAGGAAATCCTATCACGGGGAGTCAATGTACACCGTGTCCATAACAGTGTGAGCTGACTCCTAAAACTGCGCATGCGCTAAACGGTAATCACACACCAGCAACTATCTCACACTGTCACAACAGGCGTCGGGCTAGTGTATTTTTACAACCCTGGGTTACTGAGCCCTGTCCTGTACCACTGACACAAGTGGAAACCACGCCGGGCCAGGATCAAACCCTGGACGTCTCGGTAAGTGAGCCAGTCCCTTACTAAGTCATCGTGGCTTGCTTGCACTGATGACACTTGCATGGAAAGCAGGAATACTAGCTGTACATGTACAATCCCCCCCCCCCCCCTATAATTCATGGCTTATGCTCATCTTCATTATATGGGTTGGTGGAGTACAGTGAGACATTAAACTCCATTTGATTTCTTTTCTCTTCATTACAATGTTGTCACTCCCATTACAGCAGGGCTCGAACTAGTGGGCGACGTGGGCGAAATAGTCGCCCAACCACCGCTGATTTCGCCCTCCAAAGAACCTTGGGCGAAGTTGAAGTCGCCCTCGTGTGGCCGTATATTTATTGAAGGGCGAAGTTATTCTGGAGACACATTTATCGTACATAAACAAACACGTGTGACTCAATGTGAGGCTCAAAGGGAGAGAGAGAGAAATGGGGTTTAACGTCCACTCGACACAAACTAGGTCATTTCAGGACTAACATATGGTTTAATTTTATTTCAATTATTCCCCATTGCTTTCTATCATAAATTTAAACAACTAATAATTTCTTAATTCTAGTTCAGTGGTGTGTTTAAAGCAAGAAATTGGAACATTTAGGGCTACCTAATATAATTATACGGTCCATTCGACTATCTGCAAGCTTATACATTTGATCCTAGTTTGAGCCCTGCATTACAGTATTATTTAGTTTTGGCCATATCTATTTTAGTGACAAAACTAAATATCTATAGATGTTTTTTTCTTCAGTTTAAATATTTGTTAGAACTTTAGCCTCAAATCCTATCTGAAAAAAAGATTTACAGATATTATAGTAGATATAATTTTTTGAGAGAACTTATATAGGCCCCTGTCTGTTGTTAAATCCTATTCAGTATCTCGAATAAATTGTTAAACTGTATGCGCAAAGTCTAATAATGAGCTACAGACAAAACAAGTGAAAATATTGATTTTGATCGAAATTGAGATTTTCACTAAAATGGGTCTAAAAATATACTATCTATCGACCTAAAAGATCAAAATGGCAATAAAACACCTTTATTTGGACGTTTTGTAAGAGTACCATATTCTTAAATCTTTCTGTTTTCATAAAATTCTCAGCGAAACTAGTTATTTTACAAGGCACGCAGGTCAATCTCCTTACATAATACTTGGCATCGTTTTAAAACCCATACAAGTGATACAATACGTGAATATACTCAGCCCAGACACCCCACACAGTGCATTGTAGTATCATGGCTCACACGGTCAGGTCACAATTTGCGATAAAAAAAATATCTGAAAACAACTTGCTTTTTCTCAAAACTACCTTTTCTGCTTTGGGCAATTTCAAACGGATATAGCTCGGTCAGTTTTTATACGCCCACATTGAAATGTGGACGTATATTGCCGTCGCCCCAGTCCGTCTGTCGGTCCGTCTGTCCGTCGATCCGTCCGTCCGTCCGTCCATCGTCCACAATTTCTTGTGAACGCTCTAACGCCAAAAGTTATGATCCAATTGTTTTAAAATTGATATATGTTGTTTACATTAGTGAGATGAAGAAGCCTATTTAATTTCAAAAATTTCCATTTATTACGTCTAGAGTTATGGCCCTTGTTTCC